AGTCTCCAAACATAAGAAAGGAAGTTCCTTTTGTTTTTTGTTCTGTTTTCTTTCACTTGTTGGTTCTATTTATTGGGGGTTGGTGGTAAAGGAAGGGATTGAATCAGAAGTTTACAGTGAAAACAAGAAAGCTTTAGAGAGAGGTTTTTCAATTTCAAAATTTGGGGGTGGGGGGTTAGGGTTAGGGTTTACAAGTTATGCGAACAGGTGGTTATACAATTCAACAGACACTTACTACAGAGGCTGCTTCTGTCTTGAAGCAATCTCTCACTTTAGCTCGGAGAAGAGGCCATGCTCAGGTTTATTTAAAAAAAAAAAACTTCCAAAAAATGTTTAAAGTTTTGATCTTTTGATGTTTATCAATCGGAAAAGTTTTTTGTTTTCTTTCAGGTCACTCCTCTCCATGTTGCAGCTACATTACTGTCATCAAGGACAAGTCTTTTGAGAAGGGCTTGCATTAAATCTCACCCTGGTTTTTCAACTAATTACCAGTTTGCCCCTTCTCGTCTTCATCAGCATCACCAAAACCAAAACCATCCTCTTCAATGCAGAGCTCTCGAGCTTTGTTTCAATGTCGCACTCAACAGGCTTCCTACTGTTCCTGGTCCTATGTTCCATGGTCAGCCTTCTCTCGCAAACGCTCTCGTCGCTGCACTCAAGAGAGCTCAAGCTCACCAAAGACGAGGCTGCATCGAGCAACAACAACAACAGCAAACGCAAACGCAGCCTCAAACGCAGTTGCTTGCTGTTAAAGTTGAGCTTGAACAGTTGGTTATATCCATTCTTGATGACCCCAGTGTGAGTCGGGTCATGAGAGAAGCTGGATTTAACAGCACCGCCGTGAAAAACTGTGTCGAAGATTGCTCCGCCGTCTCCTCCGTCTTCTACGGCTCTTCCGTCGTCGGAGTTTTCTCTTCACCAAACTCTCCCGATCAACAACACCACCACAACAACATGAACCGATTTCACCACTACCAAAACCATAAAGACTTCAACTTTATAAACCCTAACTTCGCTTTATGGCAAACCCATTTCTTAAGCCACTCTCCTGATCAAAACCCACTTTCAGTT